ATTTTCTGCCTTAAATCTTGGTTCCAAATAATCTTGGGTTTATTGTTGCCTTAAATAATTTAATAATTGAAAAGAAATCAAAATAATCTATGATATTTAGCAAGTACAGTTTTAGTTATCAATTATCAATGTGAATATGCTAATTATTTTTCTTTTACTTTGATCACCAAATATTTTGACAATCAAAAACTTTGACCATAAAAACTAATGGAAGAAAGAATTTATTTTGAATTATAGTCCTAGTGGGCTAATATTCCATCTTAGTTGGAAAACTTGACAAATGTGGTAGGCACGGAGGCAAAAGCAGAAAGATGAAAGATCACATGTCAGTCTCAAGCAGGAAGCAGAGATTGTAAAGTGAAAGTAGATTGGGCTATATAATCTCAAAGCCTGCCCTCAGTGACATTTCTTCCAGCAAAACTGACCACGTACATCTCCCCAAACAGCACCACCAAATGAGAGCCTAGTTCAAATACCTGAGATTATGAGGACTATTTCTCACTCATATCACTACAATGAGAAATAAATCCCACAGCTTTAAAAATTAGTAGCTATATTTTTGACATATAATTGCTGCATCAGTGATTGGTACTCAACTCTCTGAACATTTCTGCTCTTCATGGCAACACTTGCTAATGGAACTGATAGCAGCTACTCTTAGTCATAAACCTGGTAGCAGATGTTACCTGTGAGCCGGTATTAGCTACTGTCTGAGTTGGTGGGGATGGTAGAGACTTTAACTGTTGTAAAATAGTCTGGAATACTTATTTTTCTATGTTTACAAATTTCCTAAAAGTAATAACACTGCATTCTCATATTTTCTAATCAATTCATTCTTCCACTTTCCAAGGATTTCATTGTTTTCTACTATTTTGATTGGTGATTTTGTTATTACTTGGGACTCAAGCTATAATTATTTGTGAAGGAAGCATAAATTGAGAAAATGTATACATCAGATTTACCTGTGGGCATGTCTGGGGAAGATTGTCTTTCTTGTTAATTGATCTAAGGGGTTCCAGTCCACTATTCTGTAATCTGTTTGTCCATATATGTTTAAAAAACTAACTTAGTGATGCAAAGATGACTTAGGGATTAAGAACACTTAGTGCTCTTCCAGAGGACCTAGGTTTGATTCCTAGCACCCACATGAAAGCTACCAACTCTTGTAATTTCAGCTATATTCCTTATCCAAATAATAAACACAGGAAAATATGTTATATAAATATATTAAATTATTAGTTAAAATTAATTAATAAATATTGCAATTTTTGGAGCTTGAGAAATGGCTCAGTGTTTCAAAACACCGGGTCTCTTCCAGAGGAGCAGGGTATGGTTACCAGCACAAATATGTTGCCTCATAACTGTAAGCAGCTTCAGTTCTGGGAGATATGACACTTTTTTTGGTCCTCTTCGGGAATCAGTCATGCATATAGACATACATGCAGGCTAACCACTCATACACATAAACATAAATTTTAAAAAACTCCATATATTAAATCAGCACTCTCTTTCTGAGAGAAATTTTATATTCTGACCTTGTGAAATTCAAATGACAGTTTCAATTTGCCATTGCCGTTTTGAGAAGCTTATTCTGTGGCTCACTGATTTCTAGGAGGAATTAATATTTGACTTATCTTCAAGGTTCCTAAATACTATGGAATTAATACAAATGTGACTAAAACTCAGACTAGAAAGGTAATATTAACACTTGCCTGGATCACTCATGGATTATTTTCTCTTTTATCAATCAATGCCAGTTTGGCTTATTTCTCTTTTTGCTTCAGTTCTTGTTCTTTCTGATCATACCTTTCAGACTAGGCTGTGTTTTCTATAAATATCATCACTGCTTACTTAAAACAGTGAATTTCTTGTGTTATAAAATAGTGTAGATATAGTGGGATGTTATAGCATATCTAAGGTTCACAAAGTACTGTATTAAATTTCAGCTTTATTATTGCTTTTCTGTGTGCATTTGAAAACTTCCCTAATTTTCTGATTGTCATTTTGAAATAGAATTTGTTTGCATTTACCTCATAAGGAACTATTACAAGTCTTAAAATAATACATGTTTATATATTCATATAGCACAGTGCATCAAATGCAATAGACACATGAATGACAGAGATAAATTTCCTATCTGTTATGATTTCCTTACCTTGCCTTTCCTATCGGCGTATAGAACATATGGGCTGTAAATTTTAGTTGATCACCCTAAGGACATTTGGTTCAGAAATCTTTCATTACATTGGAAAATATATGTCTTCTTTGTTTGTTTTTTAGTATCTAGCTATATTAATTTATCTCCATGTACCCAATGACTGTTTTGGCTTAAAATATGAATATTTCAATGGACTGTTGCAAAGTACAGAGAAATAACTAAAATTATACATTATTTGTAAGCTAGGAGCTCAGTCCAGTGTTCCAATGTGGGTCTCTGTCTCTATCTCCATCCATTGCCAGATGAAGGTTCTATGGTGATATGCAAGATATTCATCAGTTTGGCTATAAGATAGGGGCATTTCAGGTTCCCTCTCCTCAGATGTCCAAGGAACTAGCTGGGGACATCTCCTTGGACACCTGGGAACCCCTCTAGAATCAAGTCTCTTGCCAACCCTAAAATGGCTGCCTTAATTAGGATATATACTTTCCTGCTCCCATATCCGCTCTTCCTCCATCCCAACCATCCCATTCCCCCAAGCTCTCCCCATCCTCCCCTTCTCACTTTTCTCTCCCCATCTCCCCTTACCCCCACTCCACCCCCACCCCCAAGCTAAAATCAAAAACACCAATGATAGCCTTTGCTGGAGAGGATGTGGTGTAAGGGGTACACTCATCCATTGCTGGTGGGAATGCAAACTTGTGCAACCACTTTGGAAATCAGTGTGGCGATTTCTCAGGAAATTCGGGATCAACCTACCCCAGGATCCAGCAATACCACTCTTGGGAATATACCCAAGAGATGCCCTATCATACTCCAAAGCATTTTTTCAACTATGTTCATAGCAGCATTGTTTGTAATTGCCAGAACCTGTAAACAACCTAGATGCCCCTCAATGGAAGAATGGACAAAGAAAGTGTGGAATATATACATATCAGAGTACTACTCAGCAGTAGAAAACAATGACATGTTGAATTTTGCATGCAAATGGATGGAAATAGAAAACACTATCCT